GCACCTTATGTTTCTCCTATTCCCTACAAGCCACAAATTCTTTTCTCTCAAATATTGGTGGAAGTTAAGGTAGACACCCAATCCAATAGATATGTGGGGATGGTGGAAAAGATACCTACCAATGTACCATTAACCAAGGTCCAGTCTAAAAAGAGAATATTAGAGGACCAAGAAACTGAGAAAATTATTGATGTTTAGAGGGGAAGATTGAGTTTTTAGGTGAGGATGAAAAGATTAAATTCAAACCCGAAAAGTTGATACTTAAGATAGAACCAGAACCACCCCCACATGTTCAGAAGTATAAACCACCAAATAGGAAGAAGAAAAAAAAGATTAGGGGATGTGTTAGATGGCTTGATAAATGGGCAAGGACACCTAACAGTACTGAGAGTGAAGTTGAGAAATTATTTTTTGAGGAAGCCACCATGAGTACTTGCACTCATCCCTGATCGAGCTAAACGACCTTAAACAAGCCGAGCTAAACGGCCCGTAACAGGAGTGCGAAATTCCACTTTTTTCTTTCCTTTCTCGGCGCGATTTATGGCGATTTCAAATTTGCAACACTTAGATGATATGATAGATTTGATATTATGAGGGAATTAAGTGAACATTGTTGGGATGTTTTTTTATATTGAATGCCATAAAACTCATAGGTGGTAGGAGTTTTAAAAAAAGAAGTTTTTATCGTACTTTTCAGAACTTCTTCTGCAACATCATTGTAAAAGTATCTTTGAGAGCATTTGGATCTTATTTTCTATTACAAGCAATTTTTATTCAGGTTATTTTATTCTTCCTTATTGCTTTTACTTTTTGTTATGAATTATATGCATTTTATGTTTATGCCTTTTCTCACCATGAGTGAGTAGTCCTTTAAGGATTAAGGGTCACGAGACCTAACTCATGACTCCATGTATGATAATATGTACACGATACAAGGATTAAAGCGTTTTTATTTTGAAAATCTGGATTTTTATTTAACTTTCTTACGAAAGTAAAAAGTTCTTAGGTGTTAACAGTGTTCCGAAAGGACTCGTGTCAATACCCGAAAGTCATGAGGTTGAGAAATATTCCATTTTAATAGATCGTGTGATAACAATGAGGTTTCAATAAATGATTCTGAATAAGCAAAAGCTGATAGATTATTTACCGAAACCAAGAGAACACACTGGCAAAAGTAGGTGTTATCTACAAAATCTATTTTTCTATAATTCACATGAAAATCCTTGTAGTGGACTAATTTTATCTTATAGAGATGTTAGAGTAAGGGATTGTGACCCTAAATCCTATTTGTTTTGAATATTTTTCCAAGTTTTACCCATTTAAGTTGTTTTCTAAAAGTTCTTTTTAAATAAGTTATTTTTTACTTAAGTGTTTTTTCACTTAAGTTTGTTTGTTTTCAACCTTTTGTTTGCCCTAGATTTACACAGATAAAATAGAAATCAGTAGTTAACCAATGGTCCTTGTGGTTCGACATTTTTTTTACTACTCTGACAATAGTCATGCACTTGCGGCGTGTCACTTATGCAGCTTTAATTTCCTTTTTTGTCCAGCTAGTGATTTGTTAAAATTTAGAAACTTAAGTGTGCAATAAGCTTTGTGTTCTAACTAAATAGGGAGGTGGCTGGATTTTTCATATACCATTTTAAACGGTGTCAGACCTATAGAAGATTTTAGGCTTAACTCATCTTTTGGTCTCTTAACTAAGTTATTATTTTCCTTTGGTCCTTGAATTAAAAAATGTTACATTATAGTCCCTTAAAATGCTTCTATTAACCAAATTAATCCATTCTGTTAAATTTTCAGCAAAAAATCTTTAACTACCTACGTGACAGGTATGACCTGACTTTTTGTAATTTTCATATTATAAATATTCAAATGGCTCTTTATATAGTTAAAACCCTGCTTTCCTCTGCAACCATTGCATTCTTTCAGATTAAATTGGTTCATAACAGAACCCATCAAGCTTCTTATCGAGTTAATCACAACTCAAAATCATCATCAATCAGTAAGTTTATTCATGGGTCTTCTTCCTAAATCATCATACATACATATTAATTAACTTTTTTCAAAGTTTTGAAGGATATCCTTTTGGAAGATGATTTGGAGGGTGTGACCCATAGAGTGTTTTTTGACATAGAGATCGATAAAAAAAATTATTGGGTATTATACTAATGCTTTCATTCTTCATAAAGTTTTGATTTTTAATTAGTGATTGTTTCTTCTCTTGTCTCTTGTTTCAGTTTTCCAAACCATCTGTGATTTCACGTTTTCTGACCCAATAAATATAACTCTCTGAAAAAGTTTTTTTTCTACTGGATTTTTGTTATGGTGTTCAAGTTTTGAATTTTTTGAAGTTTTAAGGTTGTTGCTGAATGAAGTGTCGGAGTTCGGTTGATGGGGTGGTTGGGACAGATCAAGCATTACAAGAAGAAACGTATTCCGAAAAATAAAATTATTGATGCAAATACTCCAAAGGATGTAAATGTGAAGAAATCGAAATCGAAGTTTCAGAAAATATTTTCATAGAGATCGAAATTGAAGTTTGTGGAAAGGAAATTCGATGAGTCTGAATATGTTGGTGGAGGGAGCAAAGCGCCGCTGATGGGTGATATGAAGAGATTTGCGAGTGGGCGTGAAGCTTTTTTGAGTTTCAATTGGAAAGCTGTGATTGAGCCTGAAGAAATTGATGGGAGGGATTGTTTTACTGATGCAGAAGATGATGAGATCTTGATTCTATTTTTTGCACCAATTTTGGTAGTGTGGTGATGATGGTAGACCTAGTTTAAAAAGTTTAAGCCACTGAATAAAATTAATCTTTTGAAGAGAAGAACAAAGGCACCACCAAGGCCTCTTCAGTTAAATCATGTGCTTAAAGCAAAGTAAATTGTTTATTTTTTCATAATTATTGGTTCAAATTGTAGATTTCTTCTTCTTTTATGTGTTTCTGAGTTTTTTGAGTTTAAAGAGTGTGATTTATGTGTTCTTTTCTTGCAGAAAATATGTATATGGATATGTATATAAATTTGCATTACTTACTATTATTTTTGTTGAGTCATTACATAGTTGGCATGCCACGTTGACAAATATTAATGTTTTCTCAGCTAAGCTAACGGAAGGGACCAATAATGCTAATGGAACTAATATTAAGGGATCAAACTGTAATATTTTTTTATTAAGGGATTAAAGTGGAACTTAAAGTTAACTTAAGGGACCTAGTGACTAATATGCCAAGATTTTAATTAGGGGTGGCAAAGCGGACGACCCGCCACGTTTAGACCATCCCCGTTTAAACCCGTCCAAAAGTGGGGTGGGCTTACTTAGGTGTCCGAGCTCAAAAGTCAAACCAGTCCCGTTTACTAACGAGCTAGCTGGTTGGCGGGCCGACCCGCCAATTGTTAATCATTACAAAAGAGGCCGACAAATTTTAACAATTCATAGTAAAACTTTAACAAGTCTTAACGTAAATGTCATATTCTTCAACATAAACAAACAATGTAACTATAATACCAAAAACTTAAAATAAACACACTAAAACCCCCAAAAATCAAAACTTTATTATCATAATGAGAAACAAACCCCTCTATGCAAAACCTTATAGTTTTAGAACTCGACTCCAATGACAACGAGTAATAGAAAATAGAAAAGAGTGTATTCTCTAGTTTTGCAATAAAGATTTTTTCTACTACAAGTAAAAATAAAGAACGAAGCAGAGACTAATTAATGTTTTCAAAATGAGATTTTTGTGATTATGTGAAAAATGAATATTAGGGTTTGAAGAAATGAGGATTGTTTTAAAAGTATGTTTACTACATACCATGTTAATATTATTTTAATTCCAAATAAAAATATAATTTTTTTAAACAAAAAACTCGTCCCGCCCCGTCTTCGACCCGTTTTAAAAGTGGATTAGGCGGAACAGATCAACTTAAGACATCGAGTCAAAAACCTCACATCAGTCCGCCAAAAGTAATAGATTAAACGGGCAGGTCCGACGGATCTAATATTTTGCCATCGTCCAATTTTGATGAGGATATCATTTTTTTCTAAAATTCTTTTTATCTCCGTGCTTGACACCTCTGCTTAGTCATTGGTCTATGTGTACTATGGTGATGCCACCTTGTGCCTTACCCCATATTATTCAAATTCAAGCGCCTTTGTTAGTTAACTCTTACGAAAAAGGAATCCTACATCACTATTAAAAATTTTGGGGGTTCCGAAACGAGAATAAAAAATTTTAATTTCACCATTGTTTTTTCATGTTTTAGGTGATACGATTGCTTCAACTCATTTGGACAGATAGTCTACCGCAAGTAATTGTTGTTATATTAACATGGAAATGATGCAATGAAATAGTGACAAAAGAAAATTTAATGAGCATTATATTTACTATTAGAACTTACTCTAACAATCATTACACAACTATATAAAATCAATTTGATAAAAAATATAAATGAATAAATTGCCTCTAAAAAATGATTTTACTTAATTTAATGAAGGTTAACAAAATAAAAATTAAACATTTTAACTAATGAACGTTAAAAAAATAAAAATTAAACATTTTAATTTTTAATATATTAAACAGACAAATTTATATAGAAATATTTGTAAAAGTTGCCCTTATGAAACATCTTAAAAAATCCATAATATTAATATTTATTAAACATCAAACTTTCATAATCTAACATCTTAAAAAATTACTCAAGAAGCCAAACAACTAAAAAAGATACAGAACAAACATATAAAAATAATTATGGTAAATTTTCTAGTTTGCTAATGTTGTATTCATTAATACAGGCCACAAGGTTGAGTTACTGAAAAGAATTCACATATATCTCATAATGGTAGCACAAACTACAAAATTTTAAAAACCTCCAAGGCAAAGATTCTAATGTTTTACCAAGACTTCATATCCTAGGTACTTGGATTGGAATATAATAGAATGAACACAAAGAAACATAAGTTAAAAGCATGAGAAAAAACTTGTACTTTATCAATCAGAATCAGTTCTCAATTAGTAGCTCTATGAGATCGACCTTCTTCATTTTTGTGTACCCTTTTAGGCCACGAGATTTTGCGATTGCTCTCAATTCTGACAACTTCAATGCACTTAAATCCTCAGTTTGAACATCTAGTTCCTCCTCCACACTCTCATCATTAAAGGTCAGTTCAGCATCATGAGAATCATCCTCCGACAGTTCTGGGAAGAACAGCTCATCCTTTGTATCAAGATCAATTTCAGACTTAGGTTCTGGTTCGGGCTCTGGCTCATCCTCAGGTTTCAAATCTATTTGATGTCGATTGTTGACATTATCTTCACGAACTATTGGCTCTACATTTACGCGTGGAACAGGAGACTTTTTTTTGAAAACTGACCGAGGTCTTGTCACAGAAGCAACGTTGGCATCTCGAGACTCGTCCTTTGGAGAATTGTTTGAATCAAAAGAATTAGTGCTCTGTACTCCATCGTATTGATTACTTTCTTGCAACTGGTCAGAGTTATGGTCTTCTCCATTGTCTTCTCCGCTGCTTTTCTTTGCTTGCTGAACCGAGTGTTTTCTCAGGAGTTTAAGAAGGGAATCCACAGCATCATTTTCACTTTTTTCTTTAACATGTCGATGGGGTGATTCAATTTTCTTTTCTTCTTTAACAGAGGAGGCCCTGTCACGTAGATGAGCCTGAACCTTCTTAAACAACTCAACAATCTCTCTCTCTTTAGCGCCTGGGGATGAAGTGGCCTGGAACTTTCCTGAAGAAACCGATTCCAAAGATCCATTTTTTGAAGATAACATATCTTCTTCAAAATTCTCAAAGATATCTCTTCCATCATTGTTCCTATTTCTGTCTCTGGATGGCACGTTCCTGTTGTTGTTTTGTCTCGAGAAATACGGGTTCTTACTTGCTTCACAAACAAAAGATGCAGCCAAAGAACCAGGCTTTAGTCCTCCTATTTTTACATGGGAACGAATTCTATGACGACCTATAGAAGGGCATGAAAACACAGCAGTTGTTTTTCCATAAACACGTGAACACGGGAAACACTTGCCTTCTGGAATTACATAACCTGAGAAAAAATACAGATTATAGAGAAAGCATACAGATTCAAATTGGTTCAATTATCCAATAGTCAAAACTCAAAAATAATCATACAAAGTTAAAACCCTAAACCAGAGTAACAATGCAATCATCCACTATCAGTAACGTAATACCTAAACCTAACAATTCTACACCAAAGATACACTAAGTCACAAAAAAAGTATATCTTCAACCCACTTGGATAACATCATTTCCCCAGAGATTTAAGTCAGAAAGCAACAAGCAATTGAAAAGAAAAACTGAAAATTTACCCAATTGAAAACACAGTTCGTAAAACCCTAGTGTGAAATTTGTATTTCAAAGCAAAGAAATGAAAGGGGTTTTAGAAGTTGAAGTAGCTTCAACTATTGAACAACGCTATGGTTTTTGTTATATGAGAGAAATCTTAAAGGAGAAAGGAAAAGAAGGGAAAATAGAGATAGATAGACACTAACCAACGTTGTTGGCGACGACGAGATTCACCGTTTGCGACATTGTTCGGTAACAAAACCCTTAGAGTGCTGATTATGTATTTTATAAGCGTCCTATTTTTTTCCGCGTCATATCATGTCATGCTATTTTTATTTTAAATGAATAGAAGGAAAAGAAAGAAAAAGAAAAAAAAAAAAAAAAATATATATATATATATATATATATATATATATATATATATATATATATATATATATATATATATATATATATATATATATATATATATATATATATATATATTTTATGCAAATGATGTTAATTTGTCATATGATCACATTATCATTCCAAAATAATGTTCTCAAGTTAAAGAAAAGTATACACAATAAAATTAAAAGTAAAAAAATAAAAAAACTATAATGTTATGCAATTATAATTTTTAGTTGTTATTCATAACCTCCTAATATTTAATCATGTCACTTATATTATTCCTTAATACTTATTTTAATTTTCAATGAGCAGATTCTATCATATTAACACATAAAAAATATAAAATTAAAATACTAATAAACATATCTATTAATCGTGTTGGTACTCAAATATAACACTCAATTAATTCATATTTTAACAGATTTATGTCTATAAAAAATCAACCATGTGTCTTTCGCATAATCAATAAATTTACTATAATGCACACATGTATGTTCAAGTTTTTGCAATTGTTGACCATACTCAACCTCATCACTAACCCATACAACTTCCATCTATAATGTGTCTATCGTCTTTCATTCACCGCATATTGCTTGCATTTTGAACCAACATTTTTGTTAATGTGAAATCGGCTTGGAAAATTAATCATCCTTTGAAATACAACTTCAATTGCTTTCATCAAAGTAAGATCTCTATCAGTCAAAATCACTTGTGGACACAAATCTTTCTTCACAAACAACTGATTCAACTTATCCAACATCCAATAAAGTTCTCTGTCTACTCAAATTTCATATAAGCAAATGCAACACTAAATGTCAACTCGGTTGATGTGATGCCAACAATTTCAAAGAGAAGTTGTCTATATTTGTTTGTCTTATAAATATTGTTCATAACTAACACAATAGAAAAATATATATAACAACTTAGCTTAATCTATATGGGTCCAAAAAATATCTCTGACAACTTTTGAGTCATCTGTTTTTCTACTCTAACAAACATAATTTGCGCTCGCTATAAGTTTAAATAATTGTTGTATCTCACTTCTAGGATCTCTTATTTCTTTTTGTAACTTAATTTTATGCTTATATATTTACGTGATTCGATCTTGCAAGAGAAGCAATGTGTCCAGGTGCAACATGTCTCTTAGTCATATCAAAAACATGTTGATTCTCATTTGTGTTAAGTCTACCAACAAAGAAATGACCCTATAATCTATCGGATAAAACATGGTTATGAAAACCATATTTTACATCAATCTTCCATCCAGATCCATATTTTGCCAGAGTCGACCTGACTTTGAATGGACATCCATATTTTTCAGTTGCACTTTGTGTTCCACTATTTATATTCTTGTATTTCAATCTCTTTAATCCATCTTATAACATATTTTCATGTATATAATATTTGTATAATTGAAAATGCATCAAATGTATCTACACATATTTGATTTTTATCGCATATTTGTAGAGGAATATCTTTCAATTAAGTCTCTTGGTACTAAATAAATTCAACATCGTATATATTGACAAAAAGTGTTCTGGTACACATTTTCTCTAAATTAGGAGTCATTTAGAAAGTGTCTTGGTACATTAAAAATTAAAAATATCATAATACATTTTTCAAGTTATCCGAAATAGAGAAAAATGCACATCGAATAATTTATTACGAGTCATCCAATATATAAAAAAATAGGCATAATTAGTCCCTAAGTCTCTTAAGTTTGAGCGAAGTTTCGCTTTGGCCCCCAAACTAAAAAAACGTTGCATAATGATCCTTTAACTTAAGTTTCGTTAAACCATTTGGTCCATTCCATTAGTTTGTGTCAAAAAAAAACATTATCATTGTGTGAGGTGGCATGTCAAGTAAACAAATGTTTAATTGCACATTAGCACGTGGTTATATTACGTTACATAGGATTCCATCATATTCCATTTTTTGTGTCCATCATCTTCCATATTTCCTCTTCTTCCATTTTCTTCTTCAAATTAGGGTTAAATCACCATTTTATTTTTTCCTTCATCCATATTCTATTTTATTCTTCAAATTAGGGTTTAATGTCAAAGATTGCAAACAATGTTTCAACTTCAAACAACCAAAGCTATGCTACATCTGGATCTGTGATTCGTAAAAACATGAGAATGGATTGTTTTTTCCAAGATGAAAGTGTTCTTAGAATAGTGAATGGTGTGAACAATGTCAATAAGGGGAGAAAATTCGGGGGTTGTAGAAATTACATAAATCACATTGAAAAGGGTTGTAATTTCTTCAAGTGGCTAGGTGATGAGTTTGTTGATGAAAGGGATTTGAAGCTTGAAAAACAAATGAAGAAAATTAACAAATTGAAGAATGAAGTTATCTACACTAGAGGATGACTGAAAATGTCCATTGTGGTTGGGATTGTAAGCTTAGGATTGAACTTTGTGTTTGTAACAATGTATTTCAATTAGTTTTAGGGTAGTTCAGTATTATGTTTTCACATTTTCAATGTTTTGTTAAGTTTGTGTAATAAATAATGTGTTGTTAAGTTGGTTTAATGAATAATGTCAGTGTCTATTTCAAGATAACTATATGTGTTACATAACTGGTACAATTTTGTGATACCTAACTGGTACAAATTTGTCTTAATATTCAACTTGTAAAAAATGTAGCTCGAGGACCAATAATTAGGATGAATCAAAATAGAAAATAGGCCAATTTGCAAAAATGCCTAAAATTAAGGGGCTTTATGGAAACATACAATAATATAAATTGGCATTATTAGCCATTTCAACTTTCATTAACATATTTGAAGTTTGATACATAATTGGTTCAATAACAAAAGGCTACTATAAGGCATTATATGACATTCCAAAATGTGGTATAACTACAAAATAGATGGGTCATTCTAAATTACACAAAATGTGTTTTACATAATGACATTCCAAAATGTGTCTTACAAAAACAATACAGATAGGCCATTAAAAGGCATTATAAAATGACATTACAAAATCTTATCAGACATCATAATAATGATCAAGTTTGACTTGAAACAAGCTTGCCACCCTTATGAAGTTTTTTTTAGTTTTGGGTGGTGGTTGACTTGTAATAATAGGTGGTGGTGGCTGACTTGTAACAACTTGTGGTGGTGGCTGACTTGTAACAACTGGTGGTGCTGGTCGAGTTGTTGCTTCTTGTACCTGACTTGAAACTACTATTGGTGGTGGTTGTGTTGTTGCTTGTTGTACCTGACTTGAAGAAGCTTATGGTTGTGGTAGTTTATAAGTGGTCTTGTTATGATCATTCTTGTGGCAACGACTACACTTGATACCATGTATTGCCCTCTTCATGTGTGTCTCATCCCTCACCATTTCTCCAGCTTCCCTATTACATTTTCTCTTTGGCCTTTCAAAATGCCTCTTTATTCGTGGGGGCCGAAGATCAATAACATTAGTCTTTATCCACAAGGCCTCCCCATTAAGTGCATATATAACAGGTGCATAGCAAGCTGAACATTGTTTCTTCAAGCATTGTCACAATGGGCTTGGATCTAGCAGCTACAAACACATAATTGAAGGCCTCTGACATATTGTTAACCAAAGTGTCACAACCTGAACTTGGCTAGAACCTTGATTTGCTCCAGAATCTTGGTGGAATTTTGATGAGATGTTTGAAGGCCTCTTCATTAACTCCCCTGATTTCGAGCATTATTTTCTCCTAAGCATATACATAACTTGCACATGCAACCCTCCACATTAGTTCCTTCAATTTCAGGCCAGGGAACTTCTTCATGAAGTTTCTATATAAATTTCTGCAATAAAAAGTAAGTGTAAACCAAGTAGGTCATGCAAGTAATTCAGAATACCCAAGTATATCATATGCAACATTTAAGTAAACAGAATACCTAACACATAATCTCTGGTCAACTTTACCAAGTAATTCATCAAGAGCTGGCAGCAAACCCTGCATTCATAATTAAGTAAGATTAATGGTGAAATTAAAATAATTGGCTAACCGTTAAAATTTAAGGTGAGAGTTAACCTTTTGTTGATCACTGATGAAGGTATAGGTTTTGCACAACCTGACTCCTCCCAAATTAGATATCAATAATTCTAGAAACCAATTCCATGAGTCTTTAGTTTCACCCTCAACAACAGTATATGCAATTGGTAGCATTTGGTCATTTGGGTCCCTCCCAATAGCAGCTAGTATTTTCCCACCATAGTAACAACCATATAATCCTATAATAGGCATGCACTTAAAAAAAATGTTCTTGCAAGCTTTGAGACATACATACATCCTCTAAAAGTGAGGATTCAATTGACTAGGGTTTTCAATGATTTCCCCTTGAACTGGTTGACTTGTAATCTTGACAGTTAATCCTGGATTTTCCCTCAAGAGTTAATGGCCATAATCATGGATTCTTATATGCTTTCTAAAATAACCATCCACAATATCAACACCTAGTGTCTTTGCTCTATATGTCAATGTCTTGTTAATTCCAACGTTCTACTTTTCATGTGTCTTCTCTATAATGGCAGTCAACTTCAAAGATGGATTCTCTCTAACACTTGTTTGAATAGTCTTGTCCAACCATTTTAAATTGAGGAACCTAATCTTATAATCCCTACTACATGTATGCATGTCCACAGTTATCCTCAATTGCCAAGTTTCTTCACCTTTTATATTTGCACAGTGTTGAAACAGTATTAGTGTGGGTTTTTGTTATCGTATCTGCAGGGATTGGTTGATATTACCGCCATTCTACAATTGGAATTGTTTTAAACATAGAACATAAAAGATGTTTGTATTGGTTTCGTAAAACAACGATCGCATAAAAAGTTATAAGTAACTATCGTAACCCGAAATTTGACCTC